TCTCTCCTCTCTCCTCAGTGGACAGGAGAGTGGGTGGGAGGGCAGCTTCACCGAGCGGGAGCCACCACCCCCTCTCCACGGGACCCCCAGCCCCTCTCCTGGGCAGGACCCCCCGGGGCCGCACAGGCGTGTCTAGATCTCCATGTCCACGGGGCGAATGTTGCCCGTTTTGTGCTCTCTGACCCACAGCTCTCTGTCTTTGGCCGGGTCCACTTTCCGAAGCAGTTGGTCCACAGGCTCGACTGTCTGCAAGGGACAGAGAAAGAAGGGACACTGTCAAGGCCAAGCTGGGGATGTTTCCTCTGCACTATGCTGCTCTTGCCCAAGCTCTGTTCAGAGCAGTGTCTTTAGAATGCTCTAGGGCCCCACGGGAAACCTATCTGAGGGTCACACTCTGCAGAGTATCCAGCAGAGCTCAGGCCTGGCTGAGAGGGCAGCATGCCTTGGAGGCTCAGTGGCCTGTGACCTTTTCCTCCATGTGTCTCCATACCCACTACCAAAGAATAGAACAAATGCAACTTTACATTAGGTACTTTAACTATTTCTAGAAGTTGTATTTTTGACTCATTTTGGTTAAGCAATTTGCCCAGGGAGGCAATGGTATCTTTAGCTATTTTAAATATGGTGAGCTTCTCTCTCTTCAGGTAAACAGCTCACCTGTGCATACTTTTTGTGCACAGGATGGATCATCACATGGACATCCAGGAATCCTAATAAATCTACCCCAAGACATAACTCAGAAGCAGGGACAGCTGCCCACTGTCTGCTTCAGAAATGATTCATTTGCAGCAGCCACTTAMCCTGCCATGACATATAGACAGGTGGCTCTCCCCTGTCCCCCTGACCCCCAGGGGTCTCGTCAGCCTCTGCCCCAGGGTGGGGAACTCACGCTTTGGTTGAACATGTCTGTCTCATGCCGCAGCTGAGTGTACTGACACAGATGTTGCCGGATCATCTCCACCCTCTCCACCTCCAGCCGCTCCAGCTCCTGCAGAGGAAAACAAGACCAGAGACYTCTGAGAATATCCCCTAACTTTGGGTCCTTCCCACCAAGCAGGTTCCAAAGCACCATGTACCCCAATGCACGAGTCACTGGCTGCTGAACCCCAACCCCTCTTGACTTTCTGGGCTCCAATAAGGAACGTGCCCATCTCTAGCATGAAGGTGAAGGTTATGAGAGCAGCTGCTAGCTTACCCTAAAAGCAAGGTACAAAAAGCTTTCTATGCAGTATGTAATTGTTCTCGATATAATTTTAAGAGATTCTGCGAGATTTCTGAGCAAGGGAACTGACACCTAGAGAGGGAATACCACGTGCCCCAGGAGATATAGAACCATGGGAAGAGCAGGATTTAAACCGGGTTCTCCAGATTCTACAAGCCCAGCCCCAGCCCTAGCACCCTGATGGGGTAGAACAGGGACCAGATAGATGCAGGGGCAGGAGTGGAGCAGCCATCATCAAAGGAAGAGTGGAAAAGGCTTGTCCTTCAGTGTCTAGATGGTTCTGTGTCTCCGGAATTTAGGGGATCAGGCTGTTACTCTGTACGTAACTAGGTCACTGTCCAGGTGATTAATCGGGAAGGGGGATAAAGCAGGGGACTTAATTAGGAGATTAACAAGGGGGTAAAACAGGTCACTGGTAGAGAGGCCTTTAATCTGCMCTGGTGGGCTGACACCTGGGGAAGCCAGCCGCTCAGGGCTGTAGGAGGGACAGCAGGTAGCTTTGGGCAGTAGGAAGAAGGGATGAGTAGCTGCTGTGATGTCTCTTCTCCCCTCTGGCCAAAGTACCAGCCACACTTCACGGTTGCACTCCAGCAGGTCCTGACCAACATGGAGATACTCAGGGGCTGGGGTTGGGGCAGAATGCTCGCCTAGCACGCGTGAGGTACTGGGTTCGATCCTCAGCGCTGCCTTGGTCAGAGTACCCCCTACTCCCTGCATGGCTCCTCCTACCATACCCGTTGACATGCCTTCTAAGGCTCTCCAGGGAGTGGGTGGGATGGGGGTAGGGGAGTTGTCTCTCTTTCTACTAACGGGGCCACTCTCTGCTCAGTTAGGGAGGTTTCTGGTTGATCCTAAGCCCTCAGTAGACAGCCCAAGGAAGTGACAGCAACACGAAGCCTTTGGCTGATTTCATACAACAGGAGACACTAGGGATCTGAATGCACAGACAGGTCCAGATTGAGTTCTGATCCCAACCCTGGAATAGTGACCACTTTATGGTCACTTCCACTCCATGCCCACCCTGTGTCTCCCACCACCCACCCAGGGCTCCCTGTGACTGGCATGCTCAAGTGTCTCTGATCACATACCAAAGTGGTGGTCACCATCTCTTCAAACCATTTGGACTGGGCCTGGTTGTAGAGGTCCACACAGCGCATGAGGTCATCACCTGGAAGAGCCAGCGGCCTGTCATGCTCTGTCACACACTGTCCCACACACAATCCCAGCACGATGCACTGCCTTCCCCGTGTAGTTCAATGGCAGAGCACTTGCCTAGTATGTCTAAGGCCCTGGGTTTGATCCCCAGCACCGCAAAACACAAACCAAACCAAAAAAACCCAAAAGCAGCAAAACATGCATCACAGTGCTACACACAAACTTCAGAAGAGTAGCCACCTGGGGAGATAGGATGAGCAGTAGGGAATGAGCTCCTTCTGTATCATTTTCTTTCATAATGGAAGAGATCTGAACAAATATAACTATCAAATCTTGAAGGCTAGTGTATCACTTTCTCTAACCATATGCATGTTCGAAACATTTTATATTTAGAATAAGAGCAACCTATGAAGTAATTGCAAACATTACTCAGTGTACTAGCACCCTGGCACCTTACTATGTAAAACAAAGTTCATGGACCAGCAGTATCCGTAACCTTTTCCCCAGGGAGCTGGTGGGAAATGCAGAATCCCAGGAGCCAGAAATTGCATTTTCAGCAGACCCTACGGTGATGCTTGCACAAATTATAGTTGGAGGAGCAAGTACTTTGGCACACATCTACATTTCATCTGATGGAAATGCAATGTAGTTGCAATCAGTTTCCTAATATGCAGTTTCCTAATCATTGCAGGACTGGAAATTGGACCCTTCTGAATAATGCCAGTGAAGAACATGGATTCTGGAACCAGGATGCCTGTGCCGTCAGCCTAGCTCTACTATGGGTTAGCTGTGTGACCTTGGACATGTCAACTAGCCTGCCTGTGCCCCAGCAGAAATGAAGATGAAATGGGTATATCAGTTGTACCTTCATTAACTATGCCAATACATGCAAAGTATTAACTATGCCAATACATGCTGAGAATAGAGATTCGCAAAGATAGCAAAGTATTAACGTCAGCTATGGTGGCGATGATGGTGATGAAGAATTCAAATTTAGCCCCCAGGAGGATCTGGATGGATGCCATCCCTCCAGCAGCCTTGCAAAACATGAGGGAGAGGAGGAAAGGGAAAAGGAGCAAAAAAGGAGTGGCAGCAATTTCTGAGTAGCAGGCTGTCTGGCAAAATGGCAAGGAGCAGAGCCTTTGGAATAAGAGAAGACTGAATTCTGATGTTGCAATGCCACCACGGTCAAACCTAGCTCATCCTTGCTCCCATTGGTTTTCTCATTCACAAAGTACCTCCTTATAGAGACTGACATCACCTTCCAGAACGTAGCCTGAGGCCAGACACAGTACAATAAGTATTCAATAAAGGTAGTTCTCTCTCTTTCCAGTGCTGGGGATCCAACACAGGGCACATGCCCTTTATCACTGTGCTACCTCACTCCCACCCCCAGAATAATTTCAAGCTACAGAAATAAGATTCTGTATCATCTGATGGAAATGCAATGTAGTTKCAAGAATCAGAATAAGGGTAACAAAGAAATAAAGAATAGATAAATCAAGATGTTTGTAATAAGGGTAACAAAGACCTTGCTCTTGAAAAATGTAAAGATTTTCTTTGAGGCAACTGTTGGCTCAAAGATGAAATTAACACAACAATAGTGAAATGTCTTGAGAATAGCAGAAATGAAGACACAAATTAGAYGCTGTGGGGTGTGGTTAGGGACCTGGGTAGAGAAAAAAGAAATGTCTGGTGGGTTGAATATTTCACTGTTAAAAATAAAATMAAAAATAAATACCTCAACACTCTCTCCCCACATAAGGTCGAAGCTGATTCCCYGCCCCACCCCCATCTAAATGCCACAGGGAAAAGATGTTATATACAAAAATAGCAACAAAAAGCCAGGTAAACACACTTTTTAAAAAAAATTACAAAAAAAAAAAAAAGAGAACCCAGGGCAAATATTTGTGATTCAAAGGGTTAATCTCTATAGAGAATTCTTATCAGTAGTAAGAAYAAGACGTCAAAAAGAAAGAAGGAGACAAGTTAATTAGATGACAGAAAAGTAAGTCAGAAATAATTTGTATTTTTAAATGTTCAACCCTGATCAGAGAAAAGCAAAATAAGTAAAACATWTTTTAGCGGCACACCAATGATTTCAAAGATACTATAGGTGGGTACCTTCTCTGGTCAGCAATTTGGAAATATTCATTGAAACGAAGAAAAACCTTCAACCCAACATCAAAATTCTCTCTATATGCAGACCTGGTCTTACACATAAACAAATTTACAGTTCTGATTAAAATCATGGCATTCACAGGTAGATGGATGGCATTGGAGAAGATAATGCTAAGTGAAGTTAGCCAATCCCCCCAAAAAAACCAAATGCTGAATGTTTTCTCTGATATAAAGAGGCTGATTCATAGTGGGGTAGGGAGGGGGGAGCATAGGAGGAATAGAYGAACTCTAGATAGGGCAGAGGGGTGGGAGGGGGAAAGTAGGGGGTAGGGGGTTAGAAATGATGGTGGAATGTGATGAACATTATTATCCAAAGTACATGTATGAAGACATGAGTTGCAGTGAATACACTTTATATACAACCAGAGATATGAAAACAATGTGYTCTGTATGTATAATATGAATTGTAATGCATTCTGCTGTCTTATATATAAATAAATAAACAAATAAAAAACAAATTAGGGGAATGATGAAATCAATTTGGATACAATCATATAGTCAGACATTGGGCAATTGTTTAAAAATCTGAAATGCATAGATGGATGCATAAATAGATTTAGAGGAAATGAAATGGGCTACTTCTAAGATGTATTAACTTCAGTTCAGAATACAGAGTATAATACAATCCAATTTATATACAGTTGAATATTTAAAAAGTGAAAGCACCCTGAAGTATTGATGGTGATTATTTTTGGCAACTAACATTTTATACTCTCATATGCTGATTATTTTGACATATACGGTTTTGCAGTATTCATTTTATTTTTAATAAATTAAACTTATTTATGTACGACTTTTTCCTCTCTGGGCTCCACTCCCAATAAATATATTAGAAATTTATAACAATGCTTCTGGATCTAGTAATTTATTGTGATGCATTATAAGAATCTGTATATTAAATATTATGTTTATGCCACATTAGTTTTGGCTCCCATTATTTCTGCCCTACTTTATTACAAAATGTCTGGAAGGTGGTTGCTTCGTTTCATAATGAAATCAATTGTAACAGCTTCACCAGAAGTTGAGATGAAAGGGACCTAAAGATCATTCAGGCCATAATTTCACAGCACACAGATTAATTCCAGAGGCAATATGCATTGCTCCTGCCTGTTGCGAAACTTGATTTCTTTTAGAAACAGTCACTTTGTTTTTAAACATTTTCTAATCATCCTTTCCCTTCCTCCTTGTGTATTGGCTAACCTTGACCATTAGGTGGCAGCAGACACCAGTACACTGGGGGAAGGRGTAGAGCCTGAAATCTGGTGGTTATTTAAACAAAATGCAAGCAGGRACCACTGCTATATCTCAACCCTCCCGGTAGCACTCCCTGGGGAGAAGGTGCAGCTTATATGGGTGAATAAAGATTTGAACTTCTGTGGGCTTTAATCAGGGACTGGGCCCTGGAGCTCTTGGCACAAAGAAGAATTTATCTACTTCCTGGTCAGAAATGTAGAACTTAGGTCGGAAAAAGGCATTGCTGGAGAGACCATGAGTCCTCTAACCCCCYGTACCATGGCCTGGGAACAGCCTGGCCTGCTTCCCTCCAATCCCTGGATGCTGGGTAGAGGTGCTGGGCACGCCCTCTCCTGTGTGCTAGTTAGGGTGACTGGCCCGGGTGGGAGGCCCAGGGGCTCACCAGCCTGTGTGGACTTTCTCCGTGCCTTCTTGATGTCCTCCTCTGTCTTGTTGCTCAGCTTGATCTCCAGCTGCTGAGTCTTCATCTCCAGGTCTCTCTGSCGCTCTGTGAGGGCTTTCCGGGCCTGGGGTCCAATGACATCAAACAGAGAAGCTGTTATAAAGCTTGCAGCCTGGAGGTAGGGGGCTCACAGCCCATGAGGCCCAGCCTCCCTTTTTTTGGCTCAAGTCCTTCATTTTCTGTTTGCATGGATGATGCTACAGTGGCCCCAAGGGGCCAGACAGTCCCAGTGCTGCTACCCAGCTAACTGGCGAGGACTGAGCCCACAGACCAGCTCCCCTCATTCCTGCTGGTGACACCAGGCATGGCATTCCAGAGCCTCGAGCCCCCCGTGCCCCTCATAGCACCCGCCCGCCCTCCTCCTGGTTCCTTGGGGTGGCTCACTCTCTGCCCGTCAGTGGAGACAGCTGGCTGGGTGTCGCGGGTGACTGCTCTCTAGGGCCTGGGCTTAGTCCAGGGCTGCCACCAGTGGTCCTKCCCAAGATGTGACTAACTGTAGAAAGATGAGCTATGGGACCTCTGGAAGCGGGTGATCAACCAGGAGAAAATCTGCAGGAGGGTCCCAGACATGGGGACCACACAGAGCAGCACACTAGGCTTGATGTCCCATTAGCCCTTGAAGCAGTCATCTGAGGTCCACGAGGCTGGGATTCCCTCATCTGGGGACAAGGGCCCCTGTTGTGGCACCCAGAGTCACAGCTGGTTTCCTGGCCCACCCTATTGTAGCAGCTCCCGCCTTCCCCCCATTCCCACCCCAGCGTCCTGGCCTCTCACCTTCTCCACCGACGCGTAGCGGCTGGCGAGCTGCTTGCGGAGGTCAGCGATATGGTGGTCACACTTTTTCATGTCTTTCTTGAAGTTCTCACGAAAGTTCATCAGGGGCTTCTCCACCTCGCTGTGAAGCTGTGGAGGAGGGTGGAGAGGACACTCAGGACCCAGGGCATTAGCTGCCRTTGGTGGGGACCCTTCTTCCTCTTTCCCCAGCAGGTGAAAGGGGGGGTGGGGGCTGGGGCAATGGCCTGGGGGGACTGGAAGGCTAGAGGTGAGTGGCGGCTCAGCAGATGCAGCAACTGTAGCTCTGAGTGGGTCACCGGAACCTTCGGATTCCCCCACCAACTAACTCCTTCCTCCTCCAAGTTTTCACGTCTTTACTTTTTAAAACTTTTCATTCAAAGTAATTTTTTTTTTACTGTGTATACTGATCATGCACAATAGGTTTTGAAATATGTCATAGGTATGTAAGTGGTGTGTCATCTAAGGATGGGGACAGACTCTGAGATGCGTTGTTAGATTCTGTGGTTCTTTCACCATCACACAGTACACTTACACTAAGACGGCTGTGACATCACTATAACAACCTCTGGGACACCACGATAACAGACGGAAACTTCCCGACTCTAAGTATACACGGTGACGTAGCTTAATGGAAGTTAATTCACACGTGCACCGTCTCCCACGCTTGCTTGTGTGCCACAGCCTCTGGTACAGCTTTGCTTGGGTGTCCCTTTCCAAACCGGGAGCTTTCTGGGGACAGAAATCATGTCACCCATCTGTGTCCCCAAAAACTTTACACAGTGACTGCTAGGCAGCTCAATAAATAACTGTGAGAGGGTGCTGTTCAATTAGGCGATCTCAGATCTTTTCTATTCATCCAACATCTGCTAGGTGCCGGRTGCCTGGAATACAAAGGTGATCTGGATGTGGTCCAAACCTCAAGGAATTCAGGGCCAGGGACCGCCTAGGTGGTGAGCAGACAGTCTTCCTGTTGGATGACCTTCAAAGACCAACAGAGAGCCAGCCACCCAGGTACCATGCTCCTCCTCCTGATACCAATTGTGAGTGTCTCCTGTTATTTATTCTTTTGAGCCCTTGAAACTTTCCTCATCCAGGAGAACATCCCCACCTGGTGGCAATTTTATTAGGAGGCGACAAACTTGAGAACGCACAAGAAGAAATGAATCCCTTCTCCTATTGCCCTGGTTTAAATGTGTTCCCCAAATTCCAGATGCTGGAAACTTAATCCTCCAATTCACAAGATGGTATCTGGAGGGGGCTTCTGGGAGGTAGTCAGGAACACACGAGGCCATGAGTGAGACCGTCAGGATGGCCCTGGTGGCTTGGTAAGGACAGATCTGAAAGGACACATACTTGCTCTGTCTTGCTGTGGGATGATGCCCTCTACTGTTACAACACAGCAGGAAAGCCCTCTGGATCTTGGGCTTCTCAGCCTCCAGAACTTTGATGGAAATAAACCTCTGTTCTTCATAATGTACCCAGTCTCTGGTATTTAGTTATAGACAAAGAAAACGGATGGAGACAATCACGTACACAGATCAGGCATTTGCTGAGTAGGAGATGGTCCATAACTCAGTTGCCATGGAACCAGCAGACTGGGGTCTATGAGGTGTCTTTCCAAGGACTTGGAAAACAAGTGACTGCCAGAATTTCCTGGGCCCGGGAGTGACTTGAAGGAGCTCCTTAACATTCAAGACTCACGGGTCCAGCCCCAGGTTGTGTGGTCTGGGGAAGGGCCACAAACCTGTCAGTGCATCCAAGTCTTTCCCCAAACTCCAAACAACAAACAGGAAATAAAGCTACTAGTTGTCTGAAGTGATTCAACTGTGCAAGTGAGGACCCATGCATTCTCMAACTCTCTATCTATACTAAGTTCTTTTTATTTTTTTAATATTTATTTTTCAGTTCTCGGCGGACACCACATCTTTGTTTGTATGAGGTGCTGAGGATCGAACCCGGGCCAAATGCATGGCAGGCGAGCGCACTACCGCTTGAGCCACATCCCCAGCCCCCTAAATTCTTTTTAAAGACATAATTTATTTTCTTTAAACAAGATGGCTTGGTATCTTTTAATACTCATATTTAGCTTTTCCTGAAAGAGTGTCCCCATGAATGCAAGGGTTGGCTTCTCCTATATGGGATGGGCGAGGCCACCAGAGGGGATTCCTCCCCTCTCCAAAGCTCGGCTGACTTTGATCCTTCTTTTCACCTYGTACAATTGAAGAGAATGAGAGAAATACTACAACGGAAGCAATTTCATCTTAAGACTATTCAGCTTAGAATTTTTCAAATAATGGGTGGTCAAGAGTTGAAATCAATTTACTGGGTCAGGAGCAGATGTTTGGGTGAGAACAGACCAGACTTGGATAGAAAATATCTGAGTGCATTTTAGGTAGAAGGGTTTAATAGTCTTGTGAAACATTCATCTTGGCCACATGCATGTGTGGCTACCTGAGTGGACATGGGAATGGGTACCTGCATGTGGACCTGTGCGTACCCAGTAACTAGGTGAAGGGCGTTCCCGGGGGTCACAGTGGCTGATCTGATTCAAACTCTTCGTTTTGCACAGGAAGAAAAGAAACCCCAAGGATGCCGAGTGTCTTGACCGATGTCACAAAGCTTGTTAGGGACAGCTCTGAGCTAAAACTCATTATCCTGCTTCCCTTGTCCCCAGAAATCTTCTGCCGAATGCAAGGCTTCTCCTGCATGATTAGATTTTCTCCCCCGTCAAAAGGAATTTCTCTTTTCTCCCTTCTTGGGCAGGAGCCCGTGGCAATACCGATTCTTTAGTGACCTGTTGCTATTAGCAAATGGTCTGAGCGGGTTGACGAGAGAAGCCGGAAAGATTGCTACGACAAAACTGCATTTTTTAAAGAGCTTTTACCCCTGACACAGACTATTCAGAGCAAAATTTCCAGGCAACCTTTTAGAGCAGACATGAAAATGGGTTTTGCGCGTAGGAAGCCACATTATCCGTGGCAGACACACAAATCCTTGGAGCCCCTTTCTCAAGAAATTGCTGTGAGACCACTAGGAGGCTACTTTGATGCTCTAAGGCCACCAACAAAGATGGATGGATGGACAGGCTAGAAGTAGCAGAAGCTTTGATGGCAAAGTCTGTTTTGTGTGGCACATTTGTCATATTGCTGTGGTCAGCTGCATGGTGACATTTGTGCTGCTTCATGAAAACCAACTTAAAATGTTCTGAGCATTTGGAGGGATGGTTCACACCTCGTTGCTGTCACTCCTGGGGGAACCCAGGGCCTTCCCCAGCTGCTGGACATGAGCTCTGCCRCGGAGCCACACCCCAGCCCCAGGGTCTTGTTTAAAAGCCACTCCCCTACTGAAGAGAGGGCGTGTCCCAAAGCAAAATGGGGATTTAGTTTCCCATTGGCTCCCTCGATAGTTAGGTCCACTTGGAGGCGAGACCGTGGGCTATGAGTCCTCTCTGCCCTGCTCAGTTGTGAGGCGATGAGGCTCCTTTGTATGATGGTTGATAAGACGGAGAGGGATGGATTATATCCAGTACCCTGTCACCACCTACCACTTCATGGGAAGGTGTCAACTGCTAAACAATAAAGAGTCAGAGGTCCCTCTGATGGAGAGTAAATGCCACTAAGAATCTTGGGGATCCAGCAGGCAAACTGAAGCTCCCAGTCATGCACAGCCCTGCTCCTGGCCCYGCCCCATAGTCAAAGCCCTGCCCCCAAGCCAGAAGAGTGGCAGCCCCAGCCCCCACCCCAGCATTCATCTCACCAGTCAGTGGAGGTTAGGGGCCAAGACAGAAGAAGGGACACCTTGGGGGTTGGAGCTGCCGCTTAAAAACTCACTGTTTTGTATACAGCACACCAAAGACACCAACCCATGGAGCTACCTTCTCTAGCACAGATTGGAGCAATCTTCCCAGGACGTGCTTGACCTAACCTGAGCTCTGCTTTCATTAGCTGTGAACTTGCACGCCTCGCTAGGGGTCAGCTCAATCCTGGGGCGCTCACGCCTTTTAGAAGCAAGGAGCTGCCAACCCAGCCCAGCTTTCCTACAAAGCTCTTATGGTCTCAGTCCTTAGAGTCATTCATTCTGTGTGCAGAGGACCATGATGGGTGACAGCGGGGAGACCTGGGCATACGGACATATTCCTGTGCTCCAAGAGTATACATCGTTCAGTCCCCTAGAACTAGCAAAGTAAGAGGATCAGTGAGTGCTGAACCTGAGCCCCAGGAAGAGCCACGTCTTTGAGGAATGTCACCAATATCACCATCATATAAGGAGGAAAGTATTTAAATATCGGGCAGGGGTAGGGGCTCACAGAATTCAAGCCCTCTACTGGAATGTCCCCTTGGGCTGCTATATATGACTGATGATGGTGGGATGACAGAAGGAAGCCAGAGTCACCAGGATAGTGCCCCTCTTGAGGGTCTCTCTTTAGAAGGCAGGCATGCTAATGGGTATCTCCATCAGTCATGCACACTTTAGTATGAGTTATCTCAATGAGACACTTAGTTTATGTTTTACTTAAAAAGTAGCTGAGAGCCAGAAGAAGAATATTGGAGGTATGAGCCAGGGAGTAGAGATGGCAGGGTCACTGAGAAATCTTGAGACAAACAGATCTGAAAAGATGGGGTGAGGAAGAGACTCTCAGAAGGCTCCATGCATTCATGACTTCAGAAAATATTTGTGAAGCACCTACTGTGGGCTATCCTGATCCCTGAGAGTGGAATGAGAAGGACAGAAACATCCCTGTCCTCAAAAAAGTCCTGGTGTTTAGAGTCTTTAGAACCAAATGAAAGGAAGGTCATTTACCCCTTCTGAAATTTTACAGCAACAAATAAAAGCAAATAGTTTTCTCCCTTGGGCACATTCTAGTATTTCCAGACACCAAGAAGATACAGAACATGGCAGTCCATTTCTCTGAAAGTCTGGCAAAGAGAGACCGGGTGACATCACTCAGGGGTCTACTTTAGAAACTGGAGGGTGTCTCTGACTCCCACAGATGTACACAGAGCACCAAGTAGCTCCCAAGAACAGAATGATAACTTTTCAGGAGTTTTCTTGAGCTGACCATGAACCATAGCCTTTATTACAAATGAAATTATGTGAATTTACACTATTTTAAAAACCAAGGTCATAAATAGCAATTACTATCTGCTATTCAGGTTGTACTATTTATTATCCAAGCCCTGGGTGCAGACTGCTGGTTATTGATGTTACTTGTCTGCATCATGAAAACATTGTTTAATGATGCCCTAGTGTGCACCTTTTCYGACTCTGTCTTCAGCGACTTAAATGTGGTAGCTTGAGATTTACACCATAGGAATCGGGCAAACACTACAATCTGGAGAGACGGTTGCTAAGCATGTTAATACATGCACCACTGTGTAAGACCAGCCCAGGTCTAAGCTGCAGGGAGAAGCTTACCTTGGCCGAGAACTTGAGATGAACCTCTGCTTCATCTGCCAGACTCTTCTTCACCTGGGCCCAGGCTTCTCCCAAGGAGCTGCAATGGGTAGGACATTATTAGACTTGGGGGACCCCAGAAAGGGCTGTACCAACCTCAAATCTGAAGCCCCAGCCCATCCTAAGATGATCTCAAGCCTACAACTTGGGAAGGTATATACCATTCTAAACTTTGGATCTGGAGGAGGCAGAGGCCAGGCACCAACTATCTAGAGGGCCAGATTGAACCAGCAAAGCCAGGGTGAGTTAGCTTACAGTCCCCAGTGTCTTGACATCACCACCCCTGGTTTGCTAGTGAGGTGTACAAATGTCTGCTGGTAATTCAAGGAAGGTAGACACAGATTCATTTTCAGTGAAAAATTCCTCTGGAACGGAAGGTACTGTGCAACCTGCTTACGAGCAACTTTGCAGCTGCTTGGCTTCCAGGAGAGGCACAGATGGACCATTTGGGTCTAGGGACATGATAGGTACATGCTCAGGAGTGTGGCTCTCTGGCACAACTTCTGGGCTTCTGGGTTATGTGCCTGACTGCTGCCCATAGCTTCCAAGAGAATGGCCAAGTCCTCTTAGTGAAATCCCCTCTCCACTCCAGAGAGATGCTTCCAATAGACGAAATCTCCCGAGATCCCAGAGACTTTCAAAGGGACATGACAGCTTTCATTATCMGGAACTCCTCAACCTCACTGACCATTCCAAATGATCCCCTGCCTCCTGGCTCCCAACCTCTTCAACCCAGCCAGTCAATCCAGGCTGAGAGTTCAGTTGGCTTCATTTTATCAAAAAGCCACTTCCCCCAGAGAATTCATTCAACTCGAGTGGGAAAAGCTGATTAAAAGACAGCTCGCTGCGACACTTCTGGGTTCCCAGCCAAGCAGCAGCTAAGAATGACCCAACGGAGCAGAATGATCCCTCTGAGCCAGGGTCCAGAGTGGTRGGAGCACACACTTAGGTGGAGGGAGTTGTCTGTGGGAAATGACACTGATTTTTATCTAAGAGTCTGAGCAGCAGAGAAAGGTCCCCTGGGGAGCCCCACAGAGCAGAACTGGAGTGAGTCTGAGACAATTCCAGCTGTGGACATTTGTCTTTGCCTGAGCTCCAGGAAGCTGGTCACATGGGCGGTGGGGTGGGGGGGGCAAGGCACTGTAGGTGGCCTAGGCATCCCATCTGATCCTATAGGTGGGCAGGAGGTCCAGGGCCAGGGAGGGGTAGAAGCAATCGTGTCCCCCAAAATGTGGGAGGCAAACTTAATCCCCATGTGACAGTGTTAAAGAGATGGGAACTTTGGAGACGTCGATCAGGCCACAAGGGCTGTGCCCTCGTGAATGGATTCATACTGATGGACTTTCCCCGTTTTTCAGTGGCGAGGACAGAACCTATGGCCACGTGCATGCTAGCCAAGTGCGCCACCAYGCGGAGCCACACCCCTAGCCCTTGGATGAACTGAACAGATGGTGCAGAGACAGCTGTATTTCCACAGGGACAAAAGGAACTTTGACCCTTCCTTCATGCTATACACATGAATGATCTCAAGTAGGATTCTAGCTTTAAAGTAGCTGATCAACACAGAGCACAAATGAGAGACACAGAAAGGCCCCGGGAGATGTCCCGAGTTTTTCCTATAGAGCTGAAATTTGCTGTCAGCAGAGTGCATGGTAAGGGACTGGCCAGGGACATGTATGGTGACAGGAGAATGTTAGCTCAGGGCTATTGGGAGAAAATGAACAAGCAAAGTCTCCACCCAGGACAATGGCCCCACCTCCAGATTAGACATTGGAAAGTAGAAGGACATTACTCCAAACATTCAGATGAGCCCATCTGAGCCAATGCACCCCCCACACAGGGCAACCCCTCCTGGCACTCCTAGCCCCTCAGAGCCACTTCTAAGTGTGTGGAAATATCCTGAGCTCTGCTAACATGTACCTTTAATATGTCAATCAAAATTAAAATCATTAGAAATTTTAGAACAAAACCCACTTAGAAATTCTCTCATTTAAAAAAACAAATAGATGTCGTTCTGTCCCAAAATATGGTTTGAGGCATGCCAAATCAAAAATGCAATGTGATCCTGTCACAACTGTCAACCAGGAGAGATCCAAATCCCATTTCCTTTCTGCCCAGGAGAGGAAAACAGAAGGCAGAATACATTGAATTCTGTTTATTCACCAGCACGCACGTGTCCTCAGAAAGCCAATCTGAACACGGCGCTTGCGCAGCACAAGCCTCTCTAGCCCCTCCCCCCCCAGCTTCCTAGACGGCACCCAATTTCTCAGCTTCGTTTTGCGCTTGGAGGGTTTCCAAGGTGGGCCGGGTTCTACACCCAGATCTGTGTATAAATGCATAAAAGCATTTTACACACACGTGTGTGTGTGGAGGGGGTTCATGTGTGCACACTTAAGTGCCTGCTGGGGGCAGTGTGTGCAGGGGGTTACCAGGTGCAATAGTGACGGGGAATGTGCACACGTACAGGCGCGTGGGCTGGTGCTTGTATGTGTGTGTTCGTCTCACGTGTGTGCAGCATGGCGGCGCAGGCCTGGCATGTGGTTTAGGAGCATATGCTGGGTGTGCTGGCAGGACACAGTGTCCCTGGCAGCAGCCCAGGCCCGGGAGGTGGAAGCCGGAAGACTCCGAAGCAGCACAGTGGTTGCAGGGCACAGAGAGTCTTAGGAAAGTCCCTTCCCAGGCAGCAGGGGCTACTTTGCCTGTATGTCCCCTTCAGCATGGAGCATAGGGGCCAGGAAATAATGAACCCCACTTAGTCTGTGGGAGAGGCAGTGGTCTGTGGGGCCGCCCTGTGGCGTGTGGCTGGCCGGGTTGGTGAAAACCATTTCCAGGAGGTGGTTTGGCTGTGCAGTCAGCCCATGCGGAGGCCTTAATCAAAGCCACATTGATTTGGCAAACTCTGTCCCCTGCAGGATTTCAGGCCACAAAAGGCAGACTTGGACTTGTTGAAGATCACAGCTCTCCCACAAGCACAACCATCCTGYGACAGGATGTCTTCCTTCTGGGGGCTTCACTTCCTTTGTAGGAGGACTTCAGAGAGACTTGCCCGGGAAGGTCAGAACAGAGAGGGGACCTTCTGGGGACCCCCCCTTCAACTCTTACCTCCCGAGAGTCTTTATTATTATTATTTTTCATTGAGATAAAAATCATGGAACACAAAACGAACCCACTTAATGTGAATAATCTGGTGTTTGGCATGTCCCCAATGTTGTGTGACCAATGACATTTTCATCACCAGTCACAGAGTAAGAATTTGGGCCCCTCCACTTGCTAAGCCCTAATTCCTGATGAGGCTGCTATTTGGGGACCAGGCCTTTAGGGAAGTAGTGAAGGGCTCTATGAGGCTAACGGGTGGAGGCCGGATCCCATAAGAGTGTTCCTAGATGGGACTCCAGGAAGCACCCCACCCCACCCCACGACGGGATGGGCTGTGTCTGTAGCAAGAAAGCCTTTGCCAGCCCTGCTGGCAACCTTGATCTCGAACTTCAGCCTCAAGAACCGTAACAAAATAAATGTCTGAAGTTTAAGCCACGTTCTGTGATATTTTGTTACAGCAGATTCATCAGACAAATTCCCTAAGACAAAAGCTCTTCTAATGGAGCAGTTTCTCCCGTGTCCCACTCCCCACGTGCCATGGTAACCACTAATCTGCTTTCTGGCCATATGGATTTGTCTACTCTGGATGTTCCGTATAAATGGAATCATATGCTCTAGGACCTCATGATGTGTCTGGCTCCTATCATTTAGCATCATGTTTTTGAGCTTCATAAACATAGTAGCACGTTTCAGAATTCTATTCCTTTTTATGGATGAATAATACTCCATTGGATATCCATGGCTAGGCATGATGTTTACTATTTAACTAGTGGACTCATATTCATCTCTTGCTGGACTCTGGGTTGTTTCTACCTTTTGGCCATTGTGAACAGTGCTTCTCTGTAAATGCTTGCTTGAAATTTTCAATTCTTTCGGGTATAAAGCTAGGATGGAATTGCTGGGGATGGAGTAATTCTATGCTTAGCTTTTTTGAGGAACTGCCAGTCTGCTGTCCAGAGGGACTGTCATTTGGCATGCTGCCACAGTCATGCATGAGGGCTCCGACTCTGTTAACAGAGCAGAGAAGGCTGGGCTGAACGTTGGTCCCACCCATGGAAGTTGGGAGGGTCCCAGAGGGAGCAGGAAGGGAAGCCTGGGCCTCAGGTCCACAGGAGAGAGTTCCAAGGGGCCAGGCATGAAATCCTCTCATGCCCAGTTTCCTCCCATCCTGCCCTCAAAAGAAGGGGATCTGGAGGTGGGCATCTAAAGCTGTTGCCCAGCTACAGGGGAGAGGGCAGGGGGGATTCTGACATGCTCCAGCACCTGGCAGGAGGGCCCTGGGTGACTAGAGAGAAGACAACATAGAAGTCCCCACATATAACATGGACATCCTTACTTTGAGTCATAGGTACCCACCTTGGTTGGGCTCAGGATGCTCAACTTGAACTAAGAGCATCCTCCCGAAGCCACAGGTGGACACCTTGAACTACAAGCATCCACAATAAAACCTGAGCACCCACCTTGAGTTATTAGCACCCATCTCGAATAACAAGTACCCAGCTTGAGTCATGAGCACCCATCTCAAGCCACGGGTGCCTATCCTGAGTTATGGTGCCCCATCTGAGCTACAGGTGCACACCTTCAGTCCTGAGGACATACCTTGAGCTACGAGCCACCAACTTGAGCACGGATCCCCCCCTTGACCCAGGCTTATGGAGACCTTCCTTCCCCATCCAAAGCGCACTGTTCCAGTGATGGATGAGGAAGGCTCTTCAAGGTCCCTTCATCCTCCCCAGTCCCATCAATCTCCTCCCAACTCACCCTTCCTCCTGTGCAGCCAAGGAGTTCTGAGAGAGCTTAGCCAAGTTCTTTGCATATTCCTCTTCAATCTTTATCCTGCCAAAGGAGAAAAACCCAATACATCAGCTCTCCAGTGCGGGATGGCGGAACGGAGCTGCTCCTTGTCACGTAGCAGCTGTGTAAAGGATCCACCGGGTCACGACAGACCGTGAGCCCTGACAGTGTGTGGCTCTCATTATTTATTGAATAAATGCATGACACCGTTTGAACCTCTGTCTCTCCAACTGCACAGCGGGACATTTCCGCCTACCTCCTGGGGCTTACGAAGATGATCACTGTCATTTGCACAGCTCTGGGCAAAAGCCTGGACACACAGGTGCCCTCACCTGAATGAATGCTACTTACGACAGACCCCAGGGATGGATGGCACATGTGTCTCCTTCTGCCTTCAAGCCTGGACTGATTTTTAGACCCTCCCAGATGACCTCAGCCTCTTCCAAGCAAGAATAGAGCACCTCTACCTTCTCCCACCCAATGCCTCTAATTGCAAAGCACTGTCAAGGGCAAGAGTATTTCCATGGAAACCGGTCAATGTCCAGGGCCGCAGCCCGATTCTGCTCCCCTGGGGAGGACAGCTGCCTTGCGCAGGGCTTCCAGCAGGTAGGCCCTTCACACACTTGCAAGGTGACTCTCTGGGGAGTGTTCTATGTATTGGGCATGTCTGTGTTAAGTGTGTTGTCAAAGGCGTTGCTCACCACCTCAGCGCTCCCTAGGGCCATCATGGGAGGCAGAAGAGCTATGTTATGACAACCGGAGCYGCCCCCCCCCCCCCCCGAGAGCCCCTGGGCCGTCATGCTGTACACAGAAAAYCCGAGGGGCTGCAGTTTTTGTTTCCTGACCACTCGGGTGCAGAGAGGGTGGCTGACCATGCAGCAACAGCATTTTGCATAATAATGGTCACACAGTTTGGCACAGGGACTCATCCTCATTCCTTCTTGCTCTGCTTGGCTCTCTTCTATACCTCTAGCCAGTCTCTCTGTCTCCCAGAGCTGAACCCTGGCTCCTCTCTCAGTTCTGTTGCTCCCTTCTCCATTCCCTCTGCCTCCATCTCCAGCCCTCCCAGGATTACACAGACTGCCAGCCTGGACCTCCAGACTGTGGCCAAGGCCTCTTGAAAGCAGATCCAAGCATGTCACAGTGCCAAGGACAGGCCAGGGCAGAGAAGGTGCACCTGCCATCTGTCTCCTGAGCCTCACCTCCCAAACCAGCCTGCATCGCCTCCATCTCCTGCCCTGCTTTCTTTAGTGGAGGCCACAGCAAACCAGGGACTGGGTCCCTAGCCAGGCATACTCCACCTCTGCYCCTAGGCTCTGGCCTCTCCTGGCTCACATCCTTTGTAGGCCCCCAAGATGGACTGAGAAAGTTAGAGGAATCTGCATTTCAGCTGGTAAGGCCAGAATGACCTGCAACGGCACAGTCCGTGCATTCGCTAACATTACACTGTTATGAGCATAAACCACGAGCCCGTTCAGACTTTGGCTTAGACAACCCCTTTTCTATTCGCCTGTTTTTATATTTTTGTTTTCTCCCTCCTGAGCAATACAGCCTTCCAATTTCCTACCAGTTTAATGGGTCATAAAATAAAGATTTGATTATACAAATAGAAAATGGGCCTCCTACGGAGAAGGGTGCTTTAAAATGCCAAAGCATTATTACCTGATTACGGTTGTTATAATAAAAGAAATATTTTTAAAAGATATCGCCATTTGCAATGAATATTTCCAATATGCCTTGGAAATGCTATTTGCAAAATTGTGCCTATGTGTGCGCACACTCGTGTGAATGGTGAGTACGAGGAAGTGTGCGGATATGTGAGCGTGGGTTATCAGACTCTCAAGAGAGGAGCAAGGAGAAGGAGAAGGAATTTCTCTTTTGTTTTGCAGCTTTCCTTATTTCTATGGCATTGAATTTGTTCTTTCTTCATCAATGTTCCCAAGTTCTTTAGACAAACTACGGGTATCTTCCCCTAAAGGCAGAGGAAGGTTCTACATCCCTTGGCCTGATCAGTTTTGGTTTTGAAGATAAATCAAAAGGTAATACTCCTCTTTTGGATTATGGTGAGGAACAATGCCTCAAAGGAGGACCAGATTGTTGAGAGCCACAGCCGAAGGGGGCCCCAGCAAACTTCCAGCTGCCAGCTGATTGGCTCCTCTGCAGTGATGCTCATTGGGCTGTTTCCCTGCCCTTTCAGACCATGGAGCTGCTCATTGGGGGACTCTTTTGGCTCCGCCCACACGACCCAGCCAATTGGTCTCCAGAGCAGGAGGAGTGTGGGCTGGTGGTGGCAGTTGGGCTCTGAGGGAATTCCTGAAGAGCTCCTGTGGTGCCACTTGTGTGTTCTAAAAATAAAGTTAGTTTCTGCTTGACAAGTGGCTCGTGAATTGTGCCCAGCCATACTGCGGCACTAGATAGATGCTAGGTATCCAGATTTGAATGTAAAATCTACCAGTATTTTTTAAATGTTGGTTCAAATTTTCAGAAACACTACACAGACTAAAGCCACATAATCTTCTGATCAGATCTACCCCAGAAGCCATGCATCTGGGACCCCAACCTATGTTCTCCTTTGTGCCAACCAGCCCCAAACTGGTCATGCAGTGTTGAGTACCCTTTGACTTCCCTCAGGCCACTGGTTCACGGTGGCACCCATCTCCAGTCCCTGCAACTGGGTGGGAGATCCAGGGTCTTTACCTCTCTCGGACGAATTCAGACATTTCTTTCTGCATTTGTTTGCCCTTCAGTTGCTTTTGGAGCAGCAGTTCGAACCCAGCCACCGTGCCATTGCCTTGGGGATCCTTCTTATCAGCCTGGGAAGGAAAAAAGAAGCACAAGAAGCATTCAGGTGACATCGGGTGCCCAGGAGAATGGCGTGCAGGGAAGACAGATCCCAGAAAGCACCCACCAATTTGCCTGGCAGTGCTCACCCCAGCACAGTGCCGAGCACATAGTAATGACTCAATTAATGGTCTCGATTCTTAGTTGTTTAAAATAAAAGTCAGGACCTGAGAGAGCCGAGACAATGACTTGGGAACTAGGATCCAATTAATTTTTGTAAACAAATATTCTTAAAACTTCAAAATGAAATGACCTGTTTTTATCTGCACTCCCTCAACCACCTGGCATCCCTTTTTACTTTTTTCCTGCTCACCATGCATCCTGTCATCTGTCCACAAGAACCAACTCACTGAGCCCTTCGAGGTCCCTGGCTGTCACCAGGATTAAAACACGGTGTCCTCCTGCATTACAGCTTTTCCTTACCAGGAATCTAAGGTTAAATGCTTTGATTCTTAAGGGAAGGAACTACAATGGGTTTTGATATCACAGAGAGGCACACTGGAGGGAACATTATTCCCAGCATCTGGAAAGACCCAGGTAACTCATCTCTGCTCACCCACAAGATGACAAGGTCAGGTTCATCCAATCCTAGGCTGTGTCCCCTCTCCTCCACCATATCCCTAGTGAACTGTGCAGCCTGCATCTCTAGGATCTCTCTCAGATCAGACTTTCAGACAGAGGAAAGACACTGCTGCTACTTTCAGAGAATCCCATTTACAAGTGTCAGGCCCGTGAACGACTTTACGGAGCCTCTGGTCCTGCCCAATTCAAGATCCCTTCCTGGGCCTCCCTGACCCAAGACCCTCTGGCTATGCTGTTGACATCTCTCATGACAGGACATCAATCACACCCTACAGGATGAGCCATGTCAGAGTGGGGCTTCTCTTGCTGCTTACAAGTTTCTCCACTGGAGATTTGCGTACTTCACTCTTGACGAAAAAGCAAAGAAAAAATTAAGCAAAGTTCTGAGCCCAAACCTGCCTCCCTTCTAAGACTCATCTGCTGCTCCAGGGAAAACCAGCCAGAGAAATAGCTTTAATGACTGTTACTAGAGAGACATTTCTTCCTCCTTCCCCTTTTTTTGAGGTACTGGGGATGGAACCCCTAGGTGCTCTACCTCTGAGCTGCATCCCTAGCCCTTTTTATTTTGCGACAGGGCCAGGCTGGCCTTGAACTTGTGATCTTCCTGCCTCAGTCTCCAGAGTCACTGGGATTACAGGCATGCACCAGATGCCATCATAAGAGAAATTTCTATTCGAGAGGAAAATACCTTGATGGTCAGGAAAGAGTAAAGCATCAGAGTCTCCAGAGAGCTGAAATTAAGCCAAGCACCCTGAGTGTCACACCCTCAGATGCCGCTGACCAGCAGGCAGGATCACAGGGTCCCTCTAGCTCCTGAAGCTCCCTAAATCCCCCAACACTGAGCTCCAGGCTAGGCTCCCCAGTACCCATTCCCAGGGCTCAAACCCTTTTCCCTCAAGTGGTCTCTTTTAGGGGTGAGCTTTGCAAGTGAGGCTATGTCTCTCCATCTCTGCCACTGCTAAACCTTCCCAGTTGTCTCCACTCACCTCGTAACTTCACTCCTGCCTGCACGATGCATATAAACCAGATCACAGTGCACCTCTCTGCTTAGAACCCTCCAGCAACTCCCTACTGCAAACAGCAAGAAAACCCATCACCCTTACAGGGGCCTATAAAGTCTTATACACTGATCCTTGCTCCCCTGACTTCTGAGTTCATCTCTCCACATCTGTCTGATGCCAAAGCCTGATCCCATTTCATACTGTTTTAACCTCTGCACAACTCTCTGCTCTTGAAGCCACACAGCTGCTGCGATAGGTACTTTCCCTACTGGTGGTCAATAGGAATCTTTGGATAGCTTCTGAGTATGAATGATTTGGAAGAAAATTTTTAAAAAAGCACTTTTGTCTAGTACTCAGCAAATCAAAAAAAAAAAAAAGATAGATAATCCATTTTGCACAGTGGTGAAAAAGGAAAGGATTTTATTTATTTACTTTTCCTCAGGGTCTTTGCAAAAGTTCTCTTTGGAGATGTACAATTCAGTAGTTTTTAATATAACCACAAGGTGGTACAACCATCACCACTCTGATTCCACAGCAAGGCAATCTACTTCTGAAAATCATTGCTGACTTTAAAAAATGCGAATATCTGGGATTGCCCTCAAGAGTTCCTGAGGTGTAGGACTTTGCATGCATTTATTTCCTAAATGTTTTATTTATTTTAATTGTGTCAAAATACAGATAATATTCAACTTCTCATTTTCACTTTTTTTTTTTGGTTTGTCTGTGTGTGTGTAGTTCAGTGACACTGAGCACAATCACAGTGTCACCACGCATCTGTCTCCACCACCCACCCATAGAACTGTTTCATCCTGCAAGACTGAAACTCTGTGTCCATCAAGCAATATGCAAAACTTCTACAAGCCCAGAATGGTTAAAGCTGGGGCTCTCGGAACATCCTTGAACCCATCCCTGTTTTGCTGGAAATGGTACCTGTTCAAGGTTATTGACATCAGGTCTGGAGCCCAGATTTGTCTATTGAAGCTAACTCTATAGTCTGTCTTTGCTTTTTTTTTTTTTTTTTTTCAGTGCTGGGCTTCAAACCCAGGGCCTCAGGTGTGCTAAGAAAGCGCTCTACCTCTGAGTTAAATTCCCAACCCTTTTCTGCCTTTGCTGAACATCAAAGAAAATGACCCTTCAGGTCATGGGCTTTCTGGTGGGGGTTTCCATGTCACCATGAACAGAAAACCCCACTGATCCTCTCAGACTGATCTAGACTCCAGGAGGGTCTTAAATTCCGATTTCAGATGTCAAGGGAAAGGCCCCTCCACTTTGGGCTCCAGAGCTCTCCCAGGTGTGCACTCTTGATCATGGGGGCCACAGTGAAGGTTGGGGGTGACACGGAGGCAGCACATACCCAAAAGTAGTCACAGTAGCTCCACTCGGTTGGCTTTAGCAGTTGCTGTTCAGGCATGGTGTCTGGGTGAGGGAATGTCACGCAATTTATCTGTAGGGTACAGAATAAAAAGAAAATGACTTCACATTAGAGGGTGGGAAAACAGGGAAAGATCTTGCTCCCTGGACAGAGCACTACAGAGGTCTCCCTTGGGTCCAGGTTGATGGACCATGCATAGGTATCTTCAGATGTTCCAGTGCTGGTAAGCATTCAGGCAAAGCTCAGGGGTGGGAAATCAGGGCAAACTCTTTGGAGGGCAGTTTAATAGGATCTAGCACATGGCAAATATCTAGATCCTTCCACCTAGCAATTGCACTCTCAGGAGTCTGTGCTACAGATACGTTCATTCCTGTGTGCTGAGACATAGGAACATGGTTTTCGTTACAAGGCTCTTTATGGTAGCAAAAGGCCATGTCACAACCCCATCGTTAGTCCTTAGGGGAAACTAGGTATTGTATCCATGACAAAGGACACAGTGATAACATTCTTATACATTGATAAGGGAAGTGACTGGGACATACTATTATGTGGGAGGGAAAAAAAGCAAGGTATAGAATAGTATTCTGTTTGTATTTAAAAAAAAAAATGAGGACACAGTAACCAATCCACAAAACTACAACTATCTTATTTTTGATAAAGGGGCTAAAAGCATGCAATGGAGGAAGGATAGCATCTTCAACAAATGGTGCTGGGAAAACTGGAAATCCATTTGCACCAAAATGAATCTGAATC